AAAGTTTATGTTCATGTATCCAGCCTGTTGGTTAGACACAAACTCATGACATACTATCAGTGTTTGGTGATTTTATCCACTATTTATTTTTTTTTTTTCCATTCAATTTTAGCAGTTTTACTTCCCAGGAATTGCTGCATTAACAGAATTAATTTAACAATAGTCATTAATTTTTTTCATTTGATTAATAAAAAAAACAAATGATTATATAGTGAAGAACATATACATTCTTTAAAAACAAAGCATTCACTGTAGAAAATGAGTGTTACAAAATATTTTGAAAACTTTATGAATTAAATTTTATATATATATCTTTAACAAATTAAATTGTTTTTGTTATGGCTATGAATTAATTAAAAATATCTACCATTCTGGCATTAAACTGTAAAAGAACACCTTTAATACCTTAATTCTCCAGTATGAAACAAAACTGACTAACATTTTTGATCAAGACTTAAGATCTTTATCAAGTCACATGTCACATTGACTTGACAAAGATCTTAAGTCTTAGATCGAAAATGTTAGTCAGTTTTCGTACTGGAGAATTAAGGTATTAAAGGGGTTTGTTAAGTTCAGTGTAACATGTGTGAGACATGTGTCAGGTGTGTGGATGTTGGCAGGTGGTGATGGACAGTCCACAGCTTGGTCACACATGTCGGTTGGGTGAGGTGACGGTGTCCCCGGGAGTGTGGGGGAGATTGTCCCGGCTAGTGAGGGTGTGTAGAGTCAGAGAGAGTGTGTGTACTGACCAGGGAGCTAACCGGAGTGAGTAGCTGTGTGGCTGGTCCAGTATTGTAACTATCAAAAAGTAGTGGAGTGCCAGAGAGTCACTCGCTGATTTGAAGAAATTAAAGTGTTTTTAATTTTTGTGTTGTTATTGTTAGAAAGAAGCGTGTACTGTGTTCTTTTTGACTGTCTATACGAAAACATTCTACACCACCACCATCATCACAACATTTGTATACAACAGGGTTCTTTTACAGTTTATGCATATCCAGTTTTCATTAGTAGAGAAAGACATTATACTGGCATTAAAAGTAATTTGTAAAGTTTCTAAGAATGTATTTTTGTAAAAAGACACACAGTAATTGAAATTGATGGTTCTTCAAGTGGAGAACAAGAGAAGCAAAAAAAAAATAAAAAAAAAAACATTTTTTTGAGAATGAATTAATAAAAGAAGGATCAAAGCTACAATCTAGAATCATATGCTTTGTAGAAATGCATAAATTGTAAAGATTAGTACAGTAGTTTATTAGATTTAAGGAATGTTGCAGACATTACTATATTTACATATATGAAATACAGAAAAGATGAGAGGAAGTTTGGCCAGACATAGTCATTGACCTAAATTATTCTAAGATTTATAACACATGATTCTGTGATGTCATCATTAATCATTTTTAACTTCTCTAATGGTTTTTCTGTTGTAAATAAATTTTTAGGATTATTATAAAGGATAAATTAAGCAAAAATTATTAAATAATTTGCATAAATTATGTACTGAATTCAGTTATGAAAATATTGATAGAATGTCATTATTCTGTATGAAATCTGAAATTTATTTCTGATTTAAACAAAAATAGTGGAATTTTGTTAGATTTAAGTAATTTTAAGTCTTCTGTTAAGAAAATTTTGATTGTACTTAGTAAAAAAATGAAATTTTTATAATAGATATATTTAATAGTTTACTAATTAAGATATTAAATTATACTTTAATTAAATGACGTGTGTGTGTGTGATTCATCTGCACAAAATATTAAGTTTTGCTTATTTATATAAACATTATACTGAAACCCAATGCTTTGCAATGATACACCAGCAACTCCCATAAATCATCCCACTATAATTTGGTAATAATAATTATTATTTCCAAATTATAGCCTGGTTGGTGGATCATTTTTGCTTATTTATCAATGATAAATATAAATTTTCATTTTAATTGCATAAGATTATATATAAAAAATATAAATAATTTAGAATAAATCAAGATTTTTGAGAATGTTTTATGTTATCATAGTTTGTGTGTTATCTTATTTTTNTAATTCTCCAGTATGAAACAAAACTGACTAACATTTTTGATCAAGACTTAAGATCTTTATCAAGTCACATGTCACATTGACTTGACAAAGATCTTAAGTCTTAGATCGAAAATGTTAGTCAGTTTTCGTACTGGAGAATTAAGGTATTAAAGGGGTTCTTTTACAGTTTATGCATATCCAGTTTTCATTAGTAGAGAAAGACATTATACTGGCATTAAAAGTAATTTGTAAAGTTTCTAAGAATGTATTTTTGTAAAAAGACACACAGTAATTGAAATTGATGGTTCTTCAAGTGGAGAACAAGAGAAGCAAAAAAAAATAAAAAAAAAAAACATTTTTTTGAGAATGAATTAATAAAAGAAGGATCAAAGCTACAATCTAGAATCATATGCTTTGTAGAAATGCATAAATTGTAAAGATTAGTACAGTAGTTTATTAGATTTAAGGAATGTTGCAGACATTACTATATTTACATATATGAAATACAGAAAAGATGAGAGGAAGTTTGGCCAGACATAGTCATTGACCTAAATTATTCTAAGATTTATAACACATGATTCTGTGATGTCATCATTAATCATTTTTAACTTCTCTAATGGTTTTTCTGTTGTAAATAAATTTTTAGGATTATTATAAAGGATAAATTAAGCAAAAATTATTAAATAATTTGCATAAATTATGTACTGAATTCAGTTATGAAAATATTGCTAGAATGTCATTATTCTGTATGAAATCTGAAATTTATTTCTGATTTAAACAAAAATAGTGGAATTTTGTTAGATTTAAGTAATTTTAAGTCTTCTGTTAAGAAAATTTTGATTGTACTTAGTAAAAAAATGAAATTTTTATAATAGATATATTTAATAGTTTACTAATTAATATCTTAAATTATACTTTAATTAAATGACGTGTGTGTGTGTGTGTCATTCATCTGCACAAAATATTAAGTTTTGCTTATTTATATAAACATTATACTGAAACCCAATGCTTTGCAATGATACACCAGCAACTCCCATAAATCATCCCACTATAATTTGGTAATAATAATTATTATTTCCAAATTATAGCCTGGTTGGTGGATCATTTTTGCTTATTTATCAATGATAAATATAAATTTTCATTTTAATTGCATAAGATTATATATAAAAAATATAAATAATTTAGAATAAATCAAGATTTTTGAGAATGTTTTATGTTATCATAGTTTGTGTGTTATCTTATTTTTTTTTATTTATGGAATAAAGTAGGTAAAATAAAATAATATCTTATTTCATAACAATAAAAATCAAGAATTATGATGATAAAATTTATTAAAACTTTTCAATGTTAGAGTTAAATTCAATAAATTATTGGTATTTAATTTCATTATTTAAAAAAATGTTTGTTTATATGTTTTGGTTAGCAAAATCTGAAATATTCAATATTTTCACATTTAATAAAATTATTTATGAAAATTAAGATTAAATTTACAAATATGTATAAAGCAGTATATTTGTATTACCAGAAGAAGAAGAAGAAAAAAAATACAATTGAATGAACTATTGCTTTTAGCACTTAATGTTGTTTTAATCTTAGTTTATATCAATTAGACACATACATGGAGGAGGACTTATCACTGAGAGAAAAAAGAACTGTATCTTATCGTAGATAATCATTAAAGATTTTGAAATTTAATTCTTGTTCACCAGTATGATAAGCCCTCATGTATATGTGCATAATTGATATAAACTAAGATTTAAAAAAAAGTATCTGAAAAACGTAATCATACAATTCAAATTATCAATATTAATAAATAAAGATTTATCATTTTAAGGATGATGATAAAGATCAATATATCTCAGTTTACATATATAAGAGTATTCTAGTTATCATTTTTTTTGTTTCAGTAAGGAATCACAGATTATTTTCTTAAAATTAATCTGTATTACAGATTTTAAAGCATGCTACTACATTTAGTAGTACATGTAACATTCTGAAATACGGTCGACCCCCCCATAACATGGTAGATATGTTCCAATTTTTATGAATCCATTTTCTATGAGTCCAGCCAATCACAGCCTGGCACATGTGCAGTTTACGGACTACGGCTGTTTGAAAGGTTTCTTCCATAAAATTAATCGATTCTAGACTAATTTGACTCAACATTTCCAAAATACATATAATTTTTTGGGAATAATCCACGTAAACTATGCTATAAACAAAAAATTGTAGGATTACTTACTGAGTGTGCACCGTTTGACTACGCCATTGCTTAAGCTTGTTTTCGTCATGGAGTTTGTCATCGAATGGCACTCACATGCTTCTTGATAAATTATTATTTTTTTTTGTAAAAAATTCGCTGAACTTTAGAGACATCTTTAATATAAATATAATTTTTATGGACGTTAAATAATAAATGGTTTTTAGTAGGTCTGCTGCTCATTTAAACTCAACGGTTTGTACAATATCCTCTATTGGTCTAGATTTGACCAATCCTGTTGCGACACGAGTCGGCGATGACGTTTTACCAAATTATAAGTTTTTTTAGGTTGTTTGTAGGAATACTGTCGCAATTTTTTCGCCATGATATAGGAATCCGAACTACAGGAACCCATGTTATAGGGGGGTCGACTGTATAAGTATATTTGTCTGTGGCTGTTTTTGACTTCTTTATATTTAATCTTGTTGTTCTAATCTTTTCAATAGTTCAATTAGCTTGTGCAATAAATAGTTTTAGTAGGTGTGTACTGATTTAATTTAAGAAAATTACTTGCAATGTTGCTAAAATAATGTATTTTGTAATATTAGATATACTATGAAACTTTATACATTAAAATTTACATACTTTAAATATATTTGAGTATAAGAATATTGAAATAAAATTTATCAATTTATTATTTGTTTAAATGATTCAGTAATATTGAATGCAGAGTATTTAATATAAATAAAAGTCTGAAATTTATTTGTGATTTTTTTGTCTAGACTTCTCAAAATCATTTATTGTTTTACCAACTGGATATGGATGATTCTACTCGTGGTCTCTATGAACAGCAAGACAGCAAGTAAATTTATGTTGATTTATTATTAAAATAATTTAACTAACTTTATATTATTAAAATAATAAATAAAAACTATAGAAATTAAATATGCAATGTTTATCAAAATACAAAAACTTTTAACATATAAGCGTTAAATTAGACACCTAAGTCACTAAATTGACGAGCGCTTTCGACGATATACACTTTCGTCTTCTTCAGGTCATTAGAACCTGAAGAAGACGAACGTTAATAAAGTTAATAAGAAAGTTAATAAAAGGACACACCCTGCCTTCCATCTTGAAAAAGCCCTAGCCAAGTTATTAAGTGGGCTCCTGCCTCCCTCCCACTTAGTTACATCATCCTCGATTGCAGCGAAGACCCACATATCCTCTGTACTAGACCACATTCCGCAAAGCGAATATATATACTACAAATTGGACGTAGTTGCCCTTTATCCCTCAGTGCCGCAATTCGAGGCGGTTATGCTGGCTAACGCGATGCTAATCAAGAACGGTTTTACAGCACAAGAAGTATTAGAATTACGTGAGGCCCTACTTTTCATTTCCGAAAATAATTATTTTCAATTCAAGGGCCAAATATATCTACAACAACAGGGAGTCCCGATGGGTTCACCACTTTCAGCGGTTTTGGCGGAGTTGATCATGAGAAACATAGAGTTCAAAATGTTTAAATTTCCCATTACGTTAAAATATCCGCTTTTATATCTTAGATATGTTGACGACATTCTTGTGGCTTGGCAGGACACCCATGAAAATTTCCTTGCCTTCAAAGACCGTCTAGCGACCACTTATCCCACTATTACTTTCACCTGGGAAAAGGAAAAGGAAAATGAAATTGCCTTCTTGGATCTAAAAATCAATAAATCCCGAAATAGCACCACATACTCCGTATTCCACAAATTCAGTGGTGTACCTCCTCTAATCCCGGCCACGGCATACCAGCCGCAACATTACGTCAATGCGGCAATTTCACCTTTGATAAGAAGGGCCTTCCTCCTATCGTCCAGCCAGGCGGCTATTGACACCGAACTTAATATTATCTGCCAAGCGATAAATGAGGCGGGCTACAGCAAAGCCAAATTTAATTACATTTTAAATAAGGTAAAAACATCACTCTTTCCCGCCACCACACTACACCGTCCGAGGGAGTCCACAATAGTCCTGCCAGCGATACCATTTTCTGGCCGTGTCACCCTCCGTATCTGTCGTATTTTTAGGCGACATGATTTGTTTCTGCCGATCTCTCCGCGGCCGAATCTTAGGAGGTTGCTGTCCAACGACAGAGATCCTTTATCCACCAATGAAAAATCGGGGGTGTATTCAGT